CTCTTAATTTACAAGGATAACGAAATACCTTAAAACAATATATACATGTCTGATTATCTAACTTTTTTTAAGTCCTCCTTCTCTATAGTAAAGATATTACGCTGTGATTTGTAAACTGATAGGGGAATAGTAATAGTCTTTCCATTACATATAGCTTTAAATTCTTCTTTTACTAAAGGTTCCCATCCAGCTCAATATTGCCATTGAGTACCAAGAATTACTAAAGATTTAGCATTTCCATTCCGATCCTTTTCTGCAGGTATAACAGAAACATCATCCATAATAGATGCTGTATTTTCTCCAGAACCAATTGTTATAGAAAAATTATCCTTAGTACCAGTAGATATAGATTGATCCTATTAAGCCTATGAATTTTTTTCCTTTTAATTTTAATACCTAAAAGCTCTTTGACAAGTTCAGCAATATTATCTAAAAATATGGAAGAATCAGAGCTTGTATCAATCATTGCACAAAGTATTACTAAACCTTCTATTTTGCAATAAATAGTTACAATATCGTCAGCATCCTTTATTTGTAAAAAATTTATCTTTAAAGGCTTAGGCCAATATATTTGACTATTTTTTTTCAGCTGAATGACATTGTGCATATGCTTTAATAGTATGGTTTAGAGTATTAGAACCCATTGGTATTATATCATTCATTGGATCATCTAACTCAGTCCCTCTGGAATCCTCTAGCTTCTCTTCTATTGGGACTTGAATAAGAGGTTTTTGCTCTATATTTGTAGCTTGGATTAGTAAATGTAAAATATCTATAATTTTATTTGTAACATGCCCCCATACATTTTCCCTTTCCTTAATAGTATCATCTTTCATAGCCGTATTCAGAATCTGATCTTTCAATTTAAGGTATATTGTATTAATATATTGAAAGCCTTCTTTAAGAATTTCTTTAGGAATATGTTGTACAACTGATAATAATATAGATTTTAAGGCTATTAGAAAAACATAATCTTCAATCATGATTATAGATACTAAGGGTTTTGCTTTTTTACGAGACTTGAAAGTAGGGGATTCCTTCTTGTGAGTCTTTTTCATAGGTACTCCATTTCACACTACTTTTTTTTTACAGCATAGCAGTTTTGGCTAATGGTGTTTAGAACAGTTCCATTATCATCAACACATTCATCACTCTCCTCAACTTCCTTCTCAATATGTATTCTATTTTAGGCTCTTTGAGATCTTCCTTCTCCTCAAGTATGTATTCTATTTTGGGTTCTTCAGAATCTTCAGTGTGTTCTCATAGAACTGGATCTTTCTCAGCATTTTGGTATACATGATTAACCTTTTTAGTTTTCTTAACTCCAGTGCAATTAATCTTTGTATAGCCAGCCTTTCTACAGATTGAGCAAAGACAAATAATTCGTTTAACTAGTGGTTTTTGTATTACCTTTCTAATCGCTTTCTTTATAGCATTTGTATTTCTAACCTCTAACTCTGAGAAGGGGCTTCTTCTAACATTAGATACTTTTCGCCTTAACCTTTTATCAAGTTCATCATAGATATGTGATCCTAAGGTTGAGATATCCATTGCTATACCTAAATAATCCAAAACCTTTGCAAGACGAATTATAAATTCATGTTCAGCTTGCGAATCTTTTTGTATAGATGAATAAGATAGAGTTTCTTTATTGAAGGAGAAAATATTAACACGTCCATTAGCTTTTAACCATTTATCATTAAGTTGGGTAAAAAAGACATTTAGATCTACTGGATTTTCAATTTTAATCCGTAATTCCATAAGCGCTTTCATAGAAGCTTGTGCTAAACCTAGTTTTACTGCATAATATATTTCTTAAAGCCATACTATAAATAATGCTAGAGTAGTAACCGCAATTCCAGCACTATTATTAAATAGATTAGGAGAAATAAACCTTCCTCCATCTTTTCTGCTAATATATTAGTTTTCACACCATCATTAAAGGCTACTACTCCTAATGAATGACTATAATTAATCACCTGCATAATCTTATTATAATAGTCATCTGGTAGCTCTTGACCAACATATTGCGGTATTAGAGTTAAAAGTGAGGCCATTGAATTTAAAACATCTGGTAGGATAGCTATATTTCCTGGAGGATTTATTTGTAAATTCAAAATTATTTGTCTCAAATTTATTTCTCGAGCTTTCCATTTTTGATATTGGTTAAATACCTAGGCTCTATTAAATTCTGCTAAGTCAGCTTCAGCTTTATGTCTTCGATTTATTAACTGAAGGCCTATCTTTTCTTATAATAATATATAGTTACGTCTTTTTGCTCTTTGAGTCCTAAGTCACAATACCTGTCATTCATCTGTTTTATTATTTAGAGTTTGCATTAGTATTTGATTATCATTCTGTGACCTATCTCAGATTTCTTGCAATTGTTACCTTAGAGTTCTAGCTCATTTAACACTTTGTTCTACTACCATATTCCAATCTTGCCAATATCTTTGAACTAAACGGATATAGGTAATAATATTAGCCAAACATGTGCAAACTCTATCAAATTGCCTCTTATATCATCTGGAAGTATAACTCCTGCATTATCCAAATATATCTGAAATTTTGCTAAAGAAGCTGAAGCCTCAAATCGCCTATCTAAAATAGCTTGTATTGTATACTCTATATCTAATATTTCTTTATTATTTGAAACTTTTTTATGACTTAGACCAGTTATTTCATAAATACAGGTTTAAAGCTTATCAACCTTATCTTCTAGCCTCAAAATATAGATATCTTGTGTAGTACTAGCATTACCTTTATGTCTTAAATTATGCAATGCTTTGTGAAGATGCTGTTTAAGTGATTTGATTTCAGTCTTAAGAGACTCTATCTCATCTTCATGAATTAAGATTATAGAGTCTTGTTGTGATATAATTTTATAACTTGCATCTAGCTCCTTATTAAGAGTCTTAAGCTTTTTATTAGAAATATCATTTGAGATTATTTCATTTGCCAATTCTTTACGCAACTCTTTATTAGTATCAAGAATTTCGATATAAGCCAGATCTATGCCATTGATTCCTATTATACAAATAGATTCGAGTAAATCTAGAAATTTAGATATAATTATTGATTTGCAAAAAATTTATTATCAGCCTTCGGGCTATCAGAGGACTGCAAAAAAATTGCATAAAGCTTCTCAAAAAGCTGGGTTTGATTTTATTTTAAATGAAGTGTGTGATTGGCTTGAGGAGCAAGCTGTTCATCAGATTCATAAATCCCGACCAAAATATATTCTATATGCAAGTTTTAGCTTTATTACTATTCCTAATGAGATATATCAAGCAGACATTGATTCCTATTATACAAATAGATTCGAGTAAAGCTAGAAATTTAGATATATCTATTGATTTGCAAAAGATTTATTACCAGCCTTCAAGCTATCAGAGGACTATAAAAAAATTATTTGAAGCTTCTCAAAAAGCTGGGTTCTATTTTACCTTAAATGAAGTATGTGATTGGCTTAAGAGACAAGCTGTGCATCAGATTCATAAACCTTATCCTAGAAATATTCCAAGTGCATCTTTTATTAATGTTATTATACCTATGGAGGTTATTCAAGTTGACTTATTCTATATGCCTTATGATCAAATTGGAAATAAAATTTATAAATTTGCACTTAATTGTGTAGATATTGCTACTCATACAAAATGAACTTATCTCTTAACTAACTGATTCTGCTAGTGTTGCTATAGGCTTTGAAAAATTTTTTAACTCCCAAAAATATCTGCTTACTTGACCTAAACAAGATCTTATAATGGATGGGGGTGTTGAATTTCAGGGTGATGTTATTAGATTAATGAATAAATATGGTATTAATATTCTAATAGCTAATTCTAAAGAAAGTAGGGGTATTGTTGAAAAGTTTAATAAGACATTACAAGAATGGTCAACTATTATTTAAGATGCTGTTGATATGAGATTAATTATATCAGAATGTTGTCAAGCTTGGGTTAGAAACCTTCCAATTTTTCTTGAGAATCTTGATAATTCTGTAACTTGTCTTCTAGATATTTCTCCTGCTAATGCACGAAAACTGAAGCATGTTTATGTAAAACCTTCTAAGCCTCAAAATGGGCCTATGGGATTTGATGAGAAACAATTAACTTATGATGTTCTTATGAGATATTTACTTAAACCAGGTGAGTTAGAAGGTGGAAGAAAACGTGTTAGAGATATGATTTGATCTCCTCAAGTCTATCATATCCGTGAATCTTTAGTGCAAAAAAATCAGCTAGTCTTATACTGGCTGGAAGATGATGAAGGCAATAGTCCGAAAAGATCTTTTGTCAGAGAAAAATTAATGGTTATTAAAGAAGCTCAGCTACTACTTCGATGGGCAGTAATAGCCTTTTGGACTATTGGACTATTGGACCTTGTCCAATCCAATTCCAAATTTTATTGGATTATTAGACTTATAGTTAGTTCCATTTAAAGTAGTGTTATATAATTATTTAAAGAAAGCTATAAAGATTATACTTTATATTAAAATATAAGTTACAACCTTTGTAATTAAACAATTACTTTAATTTTATTTAATAAAATTTAATATAAACTTTATATTGTGAATTCAAATTTATTATTATTATAATAACAAAATACATTTACTGAATACTAATTAATTATTATACCAGCTAATTATTATTAATAAAAATTTTGAAATAGTTAGTTGGTTCCAAATCTTCAATAAAAATATCTTGAAGTTTCCATTTAGCATTTTTATCTATAGCAGGATGAGGTAAATTAAAAATATTTGATAAAGAAATATCATTCTCATCATTTTCATAATCAATACTAGCATCTTCTGATTCTTCTAAATCTAAATCATTTAAATCATTTTCTAACATATTTATCCATCTTGAAACTATACTTTGTCAATCACTAACTGTTTGTATATTACCATTTGTATTATTATCATTTTTCTCATCAGATAATCTATCATCTGATACATTAGGTATATTATATTCATTATCGTTATCATTAATTTCAGCTGAAATAGGTAATGCTACATTTGTATTTTTAAACTTGCGTGCCTCTTTATCAATTTTTTTAATTTTAATTTTTGTTGTATGAAGGATCGTATTTGTGTCATACTAAGTGCTTTTTCAGACTATATTAAATTATAAATTATTAGTACATTATAATTTATAAAAGATAAATAAAATTTTTACCCCTAATCAATTTCATTATTTTGAATGTAACCAACCTATTGTAGAAAAATGTTTTTCTAAAGATGCAGTTGTTATTGCAATCGAAAAAATTCATTCTGCAACACGATAAAGTTCTTTTAAATATCTATGTATATAACTCCAAAATCCTAAAATATCTTGATCAAATTGACGTATAGTAGCATCATTATATGGATATTTTTGTTTTCTATATGCTTCTAATTCAACCAATAATATTGTTGGTTCTTCATTAAACCAAGCACAATAATAATAAGTAATCTATCACCCAAGATGAGAAAACGAAATATTTTCTATAGTAAGATTAAATTTGTTTATACGATATTTAGAATGAAGTAAAAATGATAAAAGTAAAAGAGGTTGTTCCCAATCAGTCCACCTTTCTTCTAATTTTTTTAAAAGTTTTTTACTTAAATTTTTATTAGTAAGAGATCATAAAACTGTAACTAGATTTCCAAAATTATGAAGTACTTCATGTAATCAAGAGTTATGACGTTGTAATTGGTTTAAAGCAGCACAATAAGGAAGCATAATCATTTCCAATTGCTTAAAATCATTCCACCAATTATTATTTGAAATATATCCAAGATATTCATCAGGAAAATCATAAAGATCATTAGTAATTTGTTCTTCTATTTTAGTTGCTAGATTCTAAAAATTATTAATTAATTAGTAAATATAATAAATAAATTATAAAAAAATTATAAAAAAAAATTAATAAATACTTTAAGAGCTGATTTTGTTCTTAATAAACTTGCAAAACAATGATAATGAGAATTCTAACAATTTTCATTAGGAATAATCAATGCATAATATTTGTTTTTATATATTAAAGCTTGTTCTTCACGTAATTTACCAAACCATACTTTTGATCGATTAAAAAAATTAACTATTGCAACTGCTTGTTCAGCTAAAGTAGTAATAGCACTTGATTCTTTAAAGATATCCCCTACACAAAGATTCATTTGATATGCAAAACAAGGTAAAAATAATTTTTCGCGATGTAAAGTTCGTAAACATTTGCTATTATTAATTATAATAAATAAATAATTAATTAAATAATTAGAAATTATCAATTAAAATTTTAATTTATATTATTTTAACTTACCATGCTGCAGTATTTTCTCAAGCTGAATCTGTAACTAAACCATTAACTTTAATATTTATTTATTGGAGCTCAGTAAATAGTTCTTCAGTAATTCGTATAATGTCATCTCCAGTTCCTCTTTTTCCTTTACAATCAATTGCTTTCCAAATAATCATATCACTGGAAGAATTAATTAAAATAACACCTAGAAGATGTTGTCGAGATACATTCTTCCACCCATCAAAAGCAAGTGTTACACTTAATGGATCATCTTTTACATCATTAAGTAACTTTATTGATATCCGTTTAGTTGCCTCTTTAAGAATTCGTCCTCCTAATACCTTTCATGATAGTAATATAATCATTGGATTAAGCCAATGAAAAAATCATTTTATAGTATCATTTTCTATCCATTGAAATGGAAAGCCACATGAGATTGTTACTTCTAATAAAAATTCTTCAAGTTTGGATACTTGAGATGATATTAATGGACAAAAAATATAATTATCCAAAACACTTTCATTTTGAATAGGAATAATTTTATTTTCAACCTCATATAATGGATTTATATTTGTTTCAGTTTCAGAATTAGAGTCTTCATCACTGGATAGATCATTTAATATGATACATGTTCGTTTTTTTGCTAGTTAATTAGATTTAGCTCCATTTTTTTCAGCTTTATCAAGCAACTCATTTATTTGTTCAGGTGTATATAAAGTTGTGAAACTTGTACAGTCTCAAAAATGGCATATGCATTCCTTTTTTGTATTTATAAATTTGTTCTTATAAGCTTCATCCTTTCCAAGTATATTAATACAAGCACGACATACTGCATACTTATTGCTTTATTTGCTCTTTGTTCAAAATGAAGGACTACAATATATGGCGTTAAAAAATACTCCCAATGACCCATTATATGATTGTTAAAAAATAAGAGAAAAGATCATGGTGATCTATTTTTTTGCATTATATTAACGATTTTATATAAATCGTTAAATTCTTGATTGGTTCATTTTAGAATTTAAATGATTAACGTTAACGTTAAAATGATTTGCAAATAAAATATAGCGAAAATATATAATAGAAAATAATTATCATTTTTTTTAATAGCTAATCAGAGAATTGAAACCTCAACCATATTAAAAAAAAATTTAAGTATAGGCTTTTAATACAATTATTAAGCCTTTTTTCGTAAATTATTAAATTTAAAGATTACATTTTTTTTTTAAAAAAAAATGTGGAAAGTCGAAAAGTTTCCTTTTAAATATGTGATCACTTAAAAAGTAACTAATTCTAAATTAATAAAAAAATTGTAAATCATCTTGTATGACAATTATTGCAGAAAATTCTGTGATTAATTAATTTACTAAGCAATGATTTGCTATTTTAAGAAAACAAATAGCTATTAAAAGTAACGGATCAACCTAATCAATACTCATTAATATGAATTTTATTAATTATATTTCAAAACTTTATCCTCTGATTATCATTTTGATTCTTTATTATTACTAAACCCAGTTTTACAATTAATGTTTAATGTAAACATTATTTACTAAATTTAAGAATTTTTTATTTTAAATTAGCTATTAAACGATAATTTGTTATCAGAATTAAAAGAAATTATATATAAAACATAAATTTAAAGTATATGTAAATATAATTAGATTTGA